GAGAAATATACATTATATGATCTATCATTTTAGTTATAAGTACAACAGCAGCAACAGTTGCTATTGCTACACTAGCACCATGTCCAAGTTGTGTATGTATTATGACACCATGCCCATTGGTCATTGTAACCAATCCATGTTCACCAAATCCCTGGTTAGTTTTTCTTTCCTCATAAATCGACTAGTTATTAACTTCTATTATGTTTTAACTAGTCAAAATATGGGAGGATGTGCCGTTCAAAATAATGCTGCACAATGTTATTGTTCAAATTATTATTCCGGTTATTATTGTCAATATCGTATGTTGAAAAATTGATTTTAATATGTTTATGTTATAGAATAAAATTTATTTTAGGTTATACTGGTCGATCATTAACATCAAATGCATGTAATAAAACATGTTTAAATGGTGGCCGATGTTATATTGATGAACAACGAGGAGGTGTCGAACGTTGTTCATGTTCAAATGAATATTATGGATCTAGATGTGAATTAGTGAATCGACCAAAATCATGTTCATCAAAAAATCCATGTATGAATAAAGCCAAATGTGTTACAACAAAATCTGGTTCACAATGTATTTGTCAAAAGGGTACATCTGGTATTTTATGTGAAAAAAGTAAATATTATTAGTATATAGGAATCGATCGATATTCAAATATTTGAAATTTTTTAGTTCACCGATCAAGTAATACACAATACTGTCCACTTAATTGTCAAGCTGGTGGTATGTGTGTTTATGTAAAATCAACACCTCAATGTCGTTGTCCAAAAGGTTTAACAGGTCGTTTATGTGAATCTCGTATGTTAACAAAAAAAAATTTTTTTTCTTCTATTAATTTTTATTCTTTTAGGTTCTGGAAAATCATTATCAATTGGAGAAGATGAAATTAATATATTTGAATAAATAAACTATGAACAATTATTTCCATTCTCTTTTTTTTCATGTATTGATCTGTATTTTAATGATTATAAAAATAAATACTATTGAGAAATTTCTATATAAAGAAGATATATCTTATTCATGCTTACCGGTTTTTTTCTCAGTAAGAATTAGAGAATAACAAATTATAGATAATATTCTTGTCATATATTTGTCTTCAGGGACTCTTTTACGATTCAATCTACTAGTCGATTGTTCTTTCAGCATGCAAACTATTTAAGATAAGATCAAAGTATGTTCGTCAGAATTAAATAAGATACTTTATTCTAACTGATAGATCTTGAATTGCATCCGTTAGACCGATAATAAGATATTATCTATCATATGTCATAAAGAATGTAGTATACTCTATTTTTCCATCTTGTTCAAAAGATTTACTACTGTCAGATAGTTATACTGCATATGTCTTGTGATTAATGATTGAATCGTTTTTTGTGTTTCAGAACAAAGATGAATTATTACTTTTTTCTCTTTTCCGTATGTCAATTGTCAATGGCATTACTCTGTTTCATTTAGTAAGATAGAAGAAAGAAAGAATGATGATGATAAGTTGCTATACTAATGTCTACTTGTACTAATGATAATAACAAAAAAAAAAAGAGAAAAGAATTTGTTGTATCGCTGATGATACTGTACAGATGCGTTTATTTATATATATTTCTCCTAGATTGAATGTATACAAGAAACAGAATCCGTTTAGTTTCTTTTATCGATCGACATTGCTAGACAAATACCAATTGTTATTATTGTTATCATTTAATGCATAGTTGATTCCGAGAGAAAAAAAAGAAGAAGAAGAAGAAGGAGAAAACCGATTCTTTCATCAATACTTATATCGATGATCAATCACATCAGTTTTTCTTTTTAACAAAAAATGGATATTCTCAATGCATTTCATCGTTTACCTACAATAAGTTATTTTGGTATTCGACGTGATGATGATTTTGCTGATCGACTGAATTATAAATATACTGTTGGTTTATTAATATTTTTTTCAATTCTTGTTGCTACTAAACAATTTTCAAATGATCAAATACAATGGTAATAATATCTTAAATTCAAAACAAAAAGAAATTTTCATCTTTTTTTTCTTATCTAGTTGGGTACCAGCGATATTCACGCGAAATTATGAAATATATGTATCAAATTATTGTTGGATACACAATGTAAGATAGGAAAAATAAATAAACTTATTATTTTTTTTGTATAATATATACTTAATTAGACATATCATATAAATATTAGTGAACCACATCTACAACGAGCAAATGAAAAACGTTATGTATTACGATATTATCAATTTGTTCCATTTATTTTATTATTACAAGCATTATTTTATTTATTACCACGTTTATTTTGGCGTTCGATGAGTCGTCATTCAGGTATTGATGTAAAAAATATTGTCGATGCCGCACAAAGTTTAAAAACAGTTAAACGTTTTCATAAACATAAATCAATTATGGCTTATCTTGTTTCAATTATACATCAATATGCGGGTGATCCAAGAAAACGACCAAAACAACAACATAATAGAATAAGTACTTATACACACGGTTTAATAAATTGCTTCTTTGGAAGTTCAAATGTATTCAATGCTTATCTATTTCTTCTTTATTTATTAACAAAAATGTTATTTATTGCAAATACAATTGGTCAATTATATGCAATAAGATTTTTACTTGAAGAAAAATGGACGATTAAACAAACATTAAAAGGTTTTCAAAATATATTTACCGCTGATGTATTACGTACAAATCCTTTATCGAAATATTTTCCAAAAATTAGTATGTGTGATTTCAGAATTATTGAACCGAATAGTGATGAAGGACATAAATATACAGTTCAATGTAAGTATCAGAAAAAGACTTTAATTATTTTTTGATAATACTGAACAGACTGAGTATGTATGTCATGATTGATATGTAATGACATTTGGTTGGAGATAAAGAAACGTTTAATAGTCAAGGTTATACATGTTCGAGGGAATTAACTACGATCAAGTCTTATAATTACTAGTGCAGATGTTAAATAATAGCCTTAGGGGGGAATTTTGTTTTGCCTGTTTATTTATTTTATCATTAATTAACTTAAATTAACAATGACATCCATAATATTATTAGAGAATATTGAAAAATTCGATTATGACCTATGTCTTAAGAGCATAAATTATTCTATTTACACATGCTAAAGTTCATGTTTTGATCGATGATCTTTCTTTTTTTTAGGTGTTTTAACTATCAATGTGTACAATGAACAAATCTTTACTGTTTTATATATTTGGATGAATATAGTTCTTGTTATAACACTCTATGATTTTGTATCTTGGGTATTATATTTTATTTTACCACGTCTTCGATTTTCATTTTTTTCTCAACGTATTCAAATTCAACAAAGTATCACAACCGTACGTACTGGTATGCGTGCATTTGTTCATGATTATTTACAACAAGATGGATTTTTTATATTACGTCTTATACATTCAAATGTGGGTGATGATGTTACATCAACTATTTTATCAAATTTATGGAAAAATTTTCAACGTACTGATAAACCAGCATCAGGTGATACTTCAAGCGCAAATGCTGGTACAACTGTTTCATTAACAGCATCAGGAAATAGAATAGCAAGTAATAAACACGATGCACAAGGAGCATCGATATTTGATTATTCGAAAACTAGTACTACAAATCTTTGATTATATTTATTTTTCAAATGTAGTGTATCGAATAAAGTATTGCTGTTTCTACCAATATATATAAGAGATTAAATTGTACAGAAAGAAAAAATAACATTCATAATACTATAAAATGAAGCAATATTTTTTATAAATAATTGAATCCTTTTCGTCTAAATGAAACGCTCAAAACTTGTATCATATGAAAGTAAGATAAACTGATTGTAAAAATTCTTCTATGCAACAAACATCCAAAATTGAAAAAGAATATGTAAGTAATTAATATACAGTAGCTTATGGTTTTACAGAAAGATTTAATTCTCAATTACTATAACAAAAGGTCATTTTATGTAAATGAATATTTATAACTACTATAATAGTTTTTATTAAATAAAATCAAAAATAACAAAATTTAATTAGTCTTTATAGGTATATCCATTTTATCAGTTGAATAAACAATTTCTCTTGTTATATCCATCATTAATAATTCTCTTGCATAACCACGTTTAATAAATTCTCGAAATTCATTATAATCTAATTGACCATTATGATCCCAATCAACTTTATCAATGAAATATCGTATTTGTTCTCGATTAACAGATTTTCCAATAATATGCATTAATAGTTCAAGTTCATTTGCTTGTATATATTGATCATTATTTCTATTAAATGAACAAAATGCTAACCAAATAGAATGATCATTTTCACCACCAGTTATAACTGGTATAAGAATATCGCAAAATTGATCAAATGCTAATAATTCTCCATGACCATCTATTATTATAGAAAAATAAAAAAGGTAGTTTTATTTATTTATTGAAATAATGAATTTAACTAACCCATTGGAGAAACAATTGATTTCATTTGATCATATTGTTGTTTTGTTATACCTAATTTATATTGATTACCATCTTCACGTTCAAACCAATCATAAATAACTAAATTAATGGAAATATTTATGTTTATAATATAAGTTTTATACATACTTTTAACAAGTTCTCCATTTACTTTTTTTGTATATTTTCCATATCGTCTAAAATATATGAAAGTAATGACTAAAATATTTAATAATATTCTATAAGTTACTTGATAACATTTTTAAAAATTGGTAAATGAATAAGATTCTCCATGGAATTCAGCTCCATGATCAGATGCCTTCGTATTCCCAGGGATTAATAGAACGATTATTACCTTCTACCGATCGTTAATAATGGGCGGAAAAGAGACAAAGAAAGTTCTTTTCTTACATCATTAATAGAAGAAATGTAAACGATAATATTTGCTCGTCATCATTGAATTGTCTATTGGTAACAGATGGAATATGTTGATCGTTTTAACCTTCGATGATAAGATAAAAAAAGTGATATTCAGAGAAACTTTAAATATATATATTTCGAAAATCTATTAATAAATTATTTGAGGAACATATTGAATTGAGTTAAACATTCATTTACTATATATTCTTCTTTTGTTATTATTTATATATGTGTACAAGTGTGAATAATACAATATGCAAGGATATCATCACAATAATCCACTTGATTGGAAGGTGAAACATTTATGTTAATTTTCATATGTACATGTATTGAATATTTTGTTAGCTTTAACGTCATTGCAAACAACTATAATCAAAGTCACAAACAATCAAATTTTCATATATTCTACTATGATCATTTTGCAAATTTCTAACAGATAATAAAGTGACAAAAAGAAGATTACGATTTTTTTTCTTCTCACATTGACCATGATCGTCATTATAGTGACTTAAACAGTTTATATTATTATCTACATTTATTATTCAATAAATCAAATAATGCATAGCAAATAAAAAACAAACAAAATGAAAAAATGTTTCTATACAAGAGTTTCTAATATTTTGTTTGGTACAACTAAATCATCATTTGATGAACTTGAACTAATACCCGATTCACTTGATGAACGTACAATTTGTTTAATAGTTGCTGTTTGTATGGAAACATGTTTTGGAATATTTTCATTTAAAATACGTAGAGTTGATCTAAAGATGAAAAAAAAAAGAACATTCGTTTGTTCTGTTTTCAATTGAAACTTACCGTTTTGGAAGTGATGATAATTTAACATAATTTTCTTGTTTTTCTTGAATATTTTTTTGAAAATTTTCTTTTAATTTTTCTAAACGTTTTTCAATTGGTATTGAAATTGTTTCAATCATATTACAAGCACTTTTTTCAGTTGATACACATCGATTTTGAATATCTTGTATAATTATTTCATCAGCAAATCTTACACGTTTTTTTAATTGATGAACTTTTTTTGGTCGAATTTCAAATAATAAACGTCGTGCACATTGTTGTTGATTAAATAATGAAACAATTTTATAAATACGTGATGTATCATTTAATATTTGTCGACGACGATGACCTGTATATATGTAAAGTGAATAGGCTTTTGAATCACATGATGGCAATACAGATAGAATAATATCTTGAACTGTTGTTTCATTAGTTAAATCAGTAATCCATTTAATTTTCTTTTGATAACGAACTGGTATTTCACTGATAAACATAGCAATAGATGAATGAGCTATAAAAAAGAGAAATACTTCATTTTATTTATATGTAGACAAAATGAAATATATGATAGTGACAAATATAACACTTTAAGATGGATATATATATATACGTAGATTCCATCGTTTACAAATTGTTAAAATGTTTATCGAATTAAGAGGTGACAAGATGAGAGTGTGATGGTCAAATATGATAGAAACGATCAACGACAAGAGTATTTAAAAACTACTATCATAATGCAGGTCGAATTAAAAGAAATAGAAAACTCCTCCTGAACATTGATAATTTTAATTGTAAATCATACGAAAGCATAGACTTTTCGATACTAACAATTATCTTAATGAATATAAGTAATGAATCAAGTAATTTACATGTCAATAACTATCAATTACGGATTAAGGAATATATATATATATCTTAATAGTAAATATGTATTACTGAACTGATGATTTGATAATGAGGATTGTGGACGAAAACAATTTTCACTTTCTCTTTCGAATGAATCGCTCTAATTAAAACTTTGTCAGGTCTTCGAACGTGGAGTGACTTTAGGTTTAAACGAGATAGATGATACTCAGTTACTATTTAATTAGTATCTGAGGAATTATTCAATGGAAGTATCAATCCAACATATAAATTTCCTTCATACACTTCTTAAATGTATATAGAACAGTTGAGTGTACTTACGTTCCATATGAATTCAATAAAATGATATTGATGACTGTATATGACAGCGATATATATATATATATATAAAATCGGTTGAATGAGCACGTACACTTCTCTCTTCCTAGTCGTAATTAGATTACACTTGCTCTATATCGCACACAATCGAATGATTGCTATACTTTATTTCTCTCTCTTTTCTCTCAATAATGATTGGTAAATTGTTTTCGCATTTATTTATCTAAAATTGTTTCTTTCAAATTTAACTGCTGGTGCATCATCGTCTCGTATTACTTTGAGAAAAAACTCATTCACAAATGGCCAGCTTAAATAATATATCTGTTGAAAATCAATTGACAAAAATGAGCAACACGTCATCAAAGTGAGAAGGTGTATATTAAATTACTTCGAACAAAAATAAGGCACATGTATAACACCAAAGTGTTGATATACACCTAAATGATTGAAGATGAAAGAAATTAAATGTCTATCAATTAGATCGAATCATATATATATTTTATCGTTCAAGTTCTTCTATTTATAAATTGAAGAGGAGGAGCAATGACAATATATATTCTATTTAACATATTTTCAAGTATGATGCAAACTGAATTTATAATTAAATGATTTGAAAATAAAATACGTACGTGACATTCGAGAGATTTTCAATCGAAGATTTTTGAAACAATCGCCTTTTGTTATTAGTTAAATGTTAAACGGAAAGAAAGAAAAATAAAATACAAGCCGATTTTAATATAGCCGATATGGGAAATAT